TCTTTAAACTGCAGTTTTAAACACGAGAATTGTAATTCCGATCTGTTTGAAATGTATTGACATAGAAAAGTATAGTCATGACCAAGAATGTCAAAAAAAAAAGAAACGTATTATTAAAATTAAGATTATCTCCAGACAATCTACGTTTCATCGACGTAATAAAATATCAACGAATTATGAACAGATCTTTATTAAAGATAGCCAAGGCAGCGATTGAATCTCACAAATTTTCAATGACTTGGTTATTTCGAAACGAATTTTGACAGGCGACAGAGAAGAAAAAGAAGATTAAAAAAAAAAAAAAATGCGTGAGCCTTCGCCGCAGCGGAATAACGAGAGACCGCCGAGCATGTTTAATCACCAATTTAAAAAAAAATCCCAGCGCTTCGTTAGGGGAACGAAAATTCACGAGGATTCCTCCGCATCGATGGGTTTCGTGTTATTCGGTCTGCGGCCGTTGCTTGCGTGGGCTGACATTCAAAGCGGTATAATTTACAAACCGTGAATTCAGCTCCCCGAAGTCCGGGTATTAATCTCGAAGAAGAAGTTATTCCGCGAACGAGTCACGAATGCGGTGTACTGAATACAAAATAGCTTGCCGCGATGATTCTTAAACTTTTTCGCTTGGAAATTATAGTGACACAATTTTCAGTGCTCCCTTTTTCATTGCGTGCAATATTTTCACATTTATCGACGATGTTGACATAATCACAGCAGTTACTGGTTTTCAATGTCATCGAGGAATAGTGAGGAATAAATTTATAAATAAATTTGTAGTACAGCGAGGAGAAGAAAACGTATAAAAAAAATAGAACAAAATAAAGACAGAAGACGTTATGTAATTGAAAGATAAGAAATATACGATGGAAGTAGAATTGTTATTATAAGGGGAAAAATTATATAAAGGATTCATAATTTTCATTAATTCGCTAAAGTGCTCACCATGTTTTGCAAATATATTAATAATTATATTATTAAATATGATTTAATAATATAATTATCTTAATAAAACACAATTTTATTTACAATTCAATTTAAATTTACATTGTTAAACGATTCGTTTAACAACATTTTAGTAAAAACATAAATCATTTACATCTTTTTTCTTTGTTCGAGAACACTGCGAAATCATTTTGTCCTTAAAACCTAAAAACTATATATACGTATGTATATATAGTTTTGCGAGATATATACAAATTGTGAAACGAAGTATGTAAAGAGGTAATTAAATTCTTCTTCTTCCTTAGAATTGAACTATTAATTCAACCGACAGTTTTTGTAAAGTTACTTTTATATTAACATTATATTAATACATTGTTATGCAAGCAGATGCGCTCGTTAGAAAGTTCCTTAACTTACTGCGACGAACAATAAGTTGCAAAAAATGAATTTTTAATGAAGAAAGAAGGCGACACCATTCAACCCCTCGAATGATACATTCCGGTCACGTTCAATAGAGCGCGACACTCTCAAAACATGTTACTTAGTCCGCCACTTTCACGAGTGATATTTATTTACACATCTTTTGTGTGCATTGATCATATTACGTAACTCAGTTAATTAAAACTCCAAACATATCGTGACAAACTTTCCCCTATATTTGCTATACTATTATCTGATATCTGGTGAACCGGTGACTTGTTCTGTATTTTAACATGTTAATTAGTAAATCGTGGACGTATAATTTATACTTTTTGCTCCCGAATTTTTTGGAGACCCACACTGGACTATTAGTTCCCATTGGATTTAACAGAATAATTATTAGACTGCGGATTTTTATATAAATTTATATTTTTAAGAATATAATTAAAATATAATATAATATAATAGAACCTTGATAGATGTTATAGAAATAACTGTTATAATTAGACTGCAGATTTTCATGCGCATTCAAGTCAAGTATAATTAAAAGAAAGTCTTACATGTCAAATATCATAAAAAGCACTATACTTTGGATATTTTACACATATATCTTTAAAAAATTCTCAGTAACAGAAAACAAATTTCAAAACTTTTCTCCTTTCTCAAAAACACGATGTTTATTTAAATAAAATAAAATAAGTTGAATTAAATTAAATTAAATTAATTAATTAAATAAAAATAATATTTCATTAAATATTTTCTGATATGGAAAAATAATAGAAAAGTATAATTATTGGTTGATTAATATTGATTAATATTCGGACATTTATACATATATTTGGACACTAAATATTTAAACTAGTACAATTTCGTAAATTTGGACTCATTTTAAAGCTTGAAATCTCTACTTTAAAAATATACATCACACAGTAGATAGAAAAATGGAGACACTTGTCTTCTCGAAAATGTTTTAAATTGTCATAGTATATAAAAACATTGAAAAATTTATGACTGAATTTGCAATGACTTCTAAATCTTGATATACGATTTTTGTTCGCCATAATATATATAATATATGTAAATATCAGGCAAAGACGAATATAAGACAATAATACGATTCTTGAATTTTCATTGTCTAAGGTTAGCATTTAGTGAGCAATTGTATGTAAAACTGTTTTCATTAGATCAAAAAAAGTTACCCTTTCTTGTAATTGCTACTTCATTTAGTTAATAGTATATCCAGACAGAAGCATTGCTTCAAGAAGATTGTTCAGAGATATCGATGACGTGTCTTAGTGAATCACGCACAATCGCAATTGATGTTTCTAACAAAGTACTTGACATTCCTAAGAAAACGAGAATTTATTACAACTTTGCATATTCCTTGCTTCCACAAAAGAATCAAAATAATGCCTTCTGGTATGTAATTCATTCTCTTTTGGTCGATTTAACCGAATGATTTATTAGGTACTTCGATTACAGTCAGGTCCAGTGATTGTGCAGAAAAGATGGAAACTCTTCTTCTGCAAGTGGAGGCATGATTAATGCTGCCGAACGCGTTTTTAAACAGTGTTTACGCTTTTATATACATCGCTCATTTTTCTTGCAAAACTATTTTCGAGAGACTGCAGAAAATTAAGCGCAAAAGTAAATTCCGATCTTTCGCACTTCAGCGTGCAATTACATTGCCAATTAATTGTAGATTTTAAATGCCACGTCACTTATAACACGAATGAAATTAATAGAAATTTTTCTTTATGTAAAATATTTTATGTATAGAAAATTATCATAATTAATATGCAATCGATAGATTAATATGTCTATCAATAGTCAATTCTTCACATTCCAGTATTGATTGTTAACTAAACAGATGCGGTTTCATAGTCAATTCAAGGTAATGGTGACGCGTCCGGTATGTTTAAAATAGAATAGAAAGATATACTGAAAATGTTGCAAAGTAAGTATGTACCTTCACTTTATGAACGAACGAACGAAAGTGAAATGCGGAATAATGCTAAATGAATAGAATACACCGCAAATACAAGAGATAAAAAACGATAGAACAAAATTGCGTGTTAAACGCTATTTAAACAAAATGAATGTGTGCTATTACGCAATTATGTCATTATTATCATTGACGTAAAATTCGATGCGTTACGTGTTCAGTTTAGACACTTAAAGAGAAAATTGGCGACAAAATAAATTGTTGGAACATCGATCAGGTAGCTGATGTATTATTACACGGAATTAACCATCGTTAAACAGTTTAGAACAATTTGTAAGATTATTCACGACATTCAGAATTCTTCAAATATGATGACGTAGTTTTGTAACTTATTTTATGATTAAATCCAAATATAAAGAAAAACTTAGATAATCGTTAAATTACAACGAATTGCCTTGTCAATTGATCAATAATAAATTCTAAAGAATCAAGATTCAAGATTGAAATCAGTATTGGTGTAATTGAGTAATTATGTATGCAATAACAATAAAATTTGCGTAGTTTCTATTCTGGCACTACATTGAAAATATTTTCCTTCTTCCGTTTACATTTTGAATAAATATCTTGACTGATATTTACCGTGAAAACAAAGTAATTTTTTTTATAGACAATGTACATACATACATCAATATGTGCATAAACATATTTATAAACGATGTAAATATGTAATGTAGAATTTATAAATGATTGATAAATTGTTATCACTTCATACAATATATTTAAATTGCTGTAATTTTTTTAAAAATAACTTTTTTTTAAAGAACAAACAATTAAATTTGTTTCGAGAAAATTCATTTTTTGACGTTTTTATTTCCAAATTTTAATCAAAACAATTATCGCGTAATTCATTTTATGTTTTTACAGTTTTATATTTATTATTATATTGTAAAACCAGAATCGTACATTCAATTAACAACATTCAACGCATTCACAATTCAATTTCATTTTATTAAATTTACTTGTACTATTCACCTTTACTTTAAACATGAAATATGAAACATGAATATTTTCCAAATTATTATTTATCGTTTCACTTCTGAGCATCATCCAAATTACACATAATAGAATAAAAGCAGAAGGTAGAAACGATACAAATAACTATAATGAATAATAATAAAAAGTAGAAACGGCCTTTCATCTTTTGTTACGTGTTCCTGTTACCAACTTGTATCCTACCCCAATGAGTTTGATAAGAATCATCGGATCGCGACAACAACGCGACCTTTAAATCGTGAAACGACCCTTAATGCCTGATAAACATTTCACCAACGCCTCGAAGGAGCCTGAAGGGTCTCGGTGATATGGTGGCATCATCGTTAAAGAAATTATGACAATTGAGTAAGCATTCTTTAACGGGGACCCAATGACATTTAGCGCAATGTGACATGCTGATCCCCGGGAAGGTAATCTCTCTCCGGGTGATGTACAGTGTGTTGTTGTCTTTGTACGTTTCTCCATACATACAGACACACAAACAAACACACACGTATATATCGCGCGCGCGTTAAATGAGGATCCGTGTAACCCCTCTTAAGGTACCTCTACCTCTGTGTCACTATCGTCCCCTCTCTGTTCGTCCCGCGTGTGTCTCTCTCTGTCTGTCGCCATGTCGTCGTGTCCCATGTGCGTCCTCTTAGATGCACAGTGGCTATCGTTACTTGGCCAAACGGTCGTATTGGTGATGCCTCCAGGGGTATATATACGACGAGCGCTGCGGGGCTTGATAAACACTTGCCCATCAGCGATTACTGCTGCAGCATGTACACGTCACTGGTAAGCGTAATTAAGAGAAAAATCGCCGCCGGAAAAATCGTCTCGGGACGAGGAAACCTGGGGTGATGCTCGCGGGACATCGTCAGAGTGCGCTCTCTGAACCGGAGAAAATTCATTGAGTGATCCGTCGAGAGACCGCGATCTTCGCGTTTCTGTGCGTGATACACATCCGGGATGATACTGTGACACGTTGTCTGTGCCGTTTCATTCGCTCGACTCCGGGACATATTGCGATTTTCTGCAGAGAGGTTCAACGACACAAACGGTCGAGAGGTAAGTAGGGTGAATGTAGAAGAGCATGGTCTCTCGAGGATATCGATGGACTGGTAAATCGAAGCAACGTGCGCGCTGTACATCTTCCTTGGACGTAAGGATCTTCGGATTATCTGGTTATAAACTGTATCACAATCGTTTAAAATTTCCCAACTCTTGCATAGAAACTTACTTTATTGTCAATCAGTTGATAATTTAGCATATACTCAAAACAAGTCTCGATTGATCAGCAATTTCAATGTTTGCGATTGGTGCAATCTTATTATCGAGTGAAGCATTTAATTCTTAACTGTTATAGCACCATTTCAAATTGAATCGTGACAAAAATTCAGGACTTATAATTATTTAATTTTGGAACTTAAAATGTAGAGTAAAATTCTATATTTATTTATTTAAATATTCTATCGATACAACATAAATTATTTTAGCCATCTATGATTCAATGATACTGTCCGAGAGTTAAAGTTGATACGTTCTTGTAACGCTCTGGCAACGATGTCTGACTTAATCACTATCGCACTACCGTTCAAATGATGGCTGACTCAAAACGGTGTCGCTACTTGTGGCTAGTTTCTCAACGTTTTCGACATTGGACGTCACTCGCAGCTAGATTAAGCGGCAAGCGATCTTACAATCGATTTCTCGAATTGATACATAGCTCGTTATAGCGTTTAAATCTCGCGTAATTGCGCGGGAATCGATCTTTCGCGACGTAATTTATTGGTGTTTAAACACAATAACGCAAACAGCGAGCATGTGTGTATACATAAGCATGCGCATATGTAGGAATACTCGACATCGCGTCGGTCCATCTGCCATGACGTCTTTACGCGGGAATTGCACGCCGTGTTTGTTTTACTGCTTGGCTATAATGACCAACATCGCGTTAAGGATTTGAGTAAACTCGGAGTTCGCTTAAATTAAATGCGTTTCTGCCGGTTCAGTGTACGTGCAAAAGCTAGTCACGTCATTTACAAGCTAGTGAATTATACGCGGGAAAAGCACGAACGCCGTTTCGTAATTTTGTTAAAATCGAGGAAATATAAACGCGAGTGTTCCACGTGCGTAAACATTTGGCAGAGATATTTATGTTTGGCGTTTTGAGATATTAATAGCTGGTATTGGAAATACTTAAATTGCTTGGAATATTACTCTTAAATATCAATTTAATTGACCATATCGTTTTACATACTATAAAATTACACTAAATTTCAACTTTACAATGCATTGGATAAATCAATTGCAATCGAACGTGCAGTATCGATTTTCAGTTCGTAGTACAATATCAATGGAACTATAGTACAGTGTAAATTACAATAGAATACGGTGCAAATACGAAACCATCTGCTTCGAAACGATATCCGAAAAACACATTCACCCTACTGAAACTCCATGGATTTCTATCGCACTTTTAAACAGTAAATTTCGATTTCCCAACTGAAGTAAGAGATAAACAGTAAGCAACATAAAGATCGTCGTGCGTAATTTAATACAATACAAAGTTACATGGTAAAAGCAAAGTCACGAATAAATTTCAGATATTTATAGAAAATTTCAAAGTATAAAAATTGAACAGTATACGTATAAAGTTCAAGACACGTGAAGTGAACTTACGCTTCTAGATATTTAAACCAGAAATCTGTATTTAGATGTCCGTTTATTTTAATTACGTTTACAGAAATATGAAAATGGGATAATTAGAATAGACATTAAAATTTAAAATATATAAACTATATATATAGCATATATTTATATATAATATAAATATTTAAATATTTAAATTATATATGCTATAAATATTTATAGCATATATTTATATATAATATAAATATTTAAAAAATAATGAAATATTTGAAATACAATACTTTTTATAATATTTAATACGTGGAATAGTACCATTTTTTAAATTATCTATACAGAAGTATAAAATTGTATAAATATTCATAGCCTAGTCATGACTTAGAGCTTTCTTATATTATCTATTCTCTGATTGAAAATTATTAATTAATCGAATTGTATCAAAAATATATAGTGAAAGAGAAACAGAATATTAGCGACGTAGAAATGGAACATTGTAGGGCCAACGTTTATTTTCAACCGAACGACAAAAATTGGACAAATATGAAAAGGCTCTTATTTCTATCATTCTCGTGTTCAGGTAGCCGTGATCGCGCTGGCAAGCTGCGTGGCAGCTGCTCCGGCAGAGGAGGTAATACCAATTGTCAGCCAAAGTCAAGAGGGTCCAAATCCGGACGGCTCGTACAAATGGAGCTACGAGTCCGGGAACGGGATCAAGGCGCAAGAAGAGGGCCACCTGGAGAACGCTGGCCAAGAGAACGAGGCGATGAACGCACAGGGTAGTTTCAGTTATCCGGGCGACGACGGTCAACAAATTTCGTTGACGTATGTCGCGAACGAGGAGGGTTTCCAACCGCAGGGTGCTCATCTACCGACCACGCCGGAAATACCACCACTTATTCAAAAGGCGCTCGAATGGATAGCAGCGCATCCAAGTAAAGAGGACCAGAATCAGGTATAAAGGATAGGACGTGCGTCGTCAGTGATCTCAAAGCGAGCTACATTCAACTTTTATCAATCTATATGAATTTACGATGTATCGCCCCCGTCGTCGCCTCTTGCCGCCCCAACTCTAACGACTAGCGGACTACTCTGGTTCAATCTGTTGTAAATATTTATTGTATACTTTTTACGGACGTATATATTATGTATACTGTATATCTAATATATTATATGTTATGTATCGTGTATTGTGTATTGTGTAACATGCAGACGCGAGCATGTACTACAGGCAACGAGCATGTAGATAATCGTTGCCAGGTATATATTATATATACATATATTACGGTGCATACGGAATAAATGTTGCAATTCAAGAGACATGCTGGATCTTATCTCTTTACCTGGCCATTTACCTGCTTTTAGATGGAGAGTAAAAGTTTGTTGCTAAATGTGACTGAAAATGGGATACTTTTTATTTTTAACATACAATATTTGTTATAGATACAAATTTTAAATTGTATATGCATTTTATGCTAATAATATATCAATGTACCAATTCGTATTAATATATTAATACTTCACCGATTCTTCGTTGTATAAAATACGATTTAATTTTTCGAATATAATGCTTCTTCTAAGACTTTTAAGCGCGGCTGCACATACAGAAAATGTAAAGAGAAAAGTATAAATATTGAAAACATAAATATCTTCATTCTCTTAAAAATATTTTATGATAAAACTTCGTTTATCGAGATGAAATTTTATTTAGTGTATGATTAACTAAATTCTTATTAAATGAATCTTTAATACTAAACAGAAGACCAATAAACTCCAATTATAGAAACTATTTATTCATCGAGAGTTCAGATAAATTTTTAGATGTATCTGTATCTGAATCAAATATTAAACATCTTCTTTTCGCAGTAGTATTCGAAGTTGAACTTATATATAGTTTAATAATCATTTCCGTTTTATCCTTACTACACCAATAAATAAAGATTATTACAAAATAAAATGTAAATTATTACAAAGCTATTGTGTAATTCGCAGAAAATTATACTTATGCAATGTTTCTCCGATTGTTGAAATGTCGATTCGGCGTAATTTGAAAATTCGATGACGTATAGACGCAACAATTTACTTCCCGGCTCGAGGAAACAAGCTTGCTAAACTGTCAACGTTAACTTTCATCGTAACTTTATATCAAAGCAGTATTTATTCTTCGACTCTGAATTTGTCCAGTTTGGCCGAAACTGTTGGCTGGATCAAATATAAACGCAGATTGGATTAAGGCTAGTTTACAGTCGTTTTAGGAGAGGGTAGGTCAGGACGGGTCAGCTACGGATGCAGCCGGAATTACAAAGTTACGCCGTAAATGCACGCGAACTTCAGCTTGCCTTCTCTTCTCTCTGTTGACACTTCCTTGTCATTATTTACGATTCCGCTCCAATTATTCATATCAGCCGGTTCGTTTCGTCGAAATAATTCCACGACACTGCAATCGTAAATACAAAATTCAAACCCCGTGTGCTGCCGGACGGAGGAGTGTAATTTCTTCGAGGAATTTGATCTATTCTCGTTTGATCCGTGCACTCTAAGATACGCGCTGATTTACGATAGAAAGTTTCAGCACGACGCGACGTAGTACAACGTTTTAAGCACGTGCTCGTTCTAGACGACGGCTCGACGTCGTTAATCAATCGCGATACCGCGGACATAAAGGACGTCCTCGAGTAATTTATTTGAAGACTATGGTCTTGCGGATAATGAGGTCTGACTTTCGTTGCGTTTCCTCGTGAGTGAAATAACAAAATAACGCATAGCTTTATAATTATATTTCGTGGGATGTTCTTTTAAAATTTTTCTAATGAACCTGATATGAATTCGAATTTTAATTTCAATTTAAAAAAGGCTAAATATTCGAAAATATTCGAACTTTCATAATATGTATATGTTATGTGTGTGTTATATGAAACATTAATGTAATGTAGGGCACGTAAACATTGTAATAAGAAACAATTATTATATTTCTAGTGATAAAATTTGAAAGTAATCTGAAAATATATATATATATAGACATTAGAAAATATTTTTTACAAGCATATATTTAGTAAAATATTATATTAGGATACAATATGAACAGCTTTCTGAAACTAAGCTAATTAGTTTAATATGTATTACTGAATTTTCTCAATGGATTTTCTTATATTAATCTCATGTATCAATGTCTCCCCGGTAACAGAACATTGTATGTGAAACTTTCGTTGAACTTTCACAGACGGCACATTACATACTTCTATTTGTTAATATCCAGAATATATTCTACAGTTGCAATGATATTACATAATGCTTGGCTATCTTTTATTACCGATGCAATACCATCACTGAAACTTTTATCTTAATGCGATTGCCTTCTAGAGATATCATTAGAGTATGTGTCAAGAATCATAAATCATGTCTCAAGCTGAATATATTTTGACACTTGCTTTCATGATATAGAATAATAACTTTCGTTCATAATATCTTGGATTATCGTGAAGTTTACGTGCTAGTAAACTTTATGATGTATTTAAAGTGTAGTATATTTATAATATAATACACACATTACATTCTGTGTATTAAATTTTAGTATATATTAAAAATATAATAAACTTGATGTATTATATTGAACTTATATTAAAAGTTTTTATTAAACTTAATATTAAACTTCATATTAAAAATTATTGTACTAAAAAGTTTCAACTAAATCTACTACTTATAATCAATTATAAAAAGTTATAATTATAAAAAAAAGTTATATTAATATCAATTATAAAAAATTATAATTATAAAAAAAAAGTTATAAAATCAAGATTTTTTTCTAAGATTTTTTTCTAAGATTAAGATAAATCTACGCATTTCGATAAAGTTGAATAGTTTTCGACTTATTTATGAATATATTCGATTTATTATGAATATATAATTATTAACTTTTGTTCATTTAAACTATGACATATTAAAAATAGCAATTATTCTGTTTCGCCACATAATTATTTTTCATCGTTCTCTTCTTTGTGTTAAATTTCGCTCAGTTATTATTTCTTTCTTCATTCAATATAGATGGAAACTATAATTTCCATGTTTAAAAATATAATAAAAATACTTTTTTCATTTTTAAACGTTTTTTGGAACTCATAATGACATATTGATATTATTGATTCATACAAATGTAATATTAAACAAAGATGGATGTTTCATCTAGATTTTTATTTTATTGTTATTTTATCATTATTATTTATTCCAACCATATTTATTTATTATTATATATTTATCTTTTATTGTTATTATTTATTCCAACTATATTTATCTATTTCGCATTGTATTCAACTAATTTTTCAATTTTATTAATACAAAAGAAAATCCATTGTAGTAGCTGATTCTGACAATGTTAGAAAATAGGTCATTACATTCGAACTATAACCCATACTTAGCCATAAACGTGACATTCTGAATTCATATCATAAACTACAACTTTCTCGTATTGCTCCTCCTTCTCATTCAACTTCTCCATTCAGTTTCATATTCTATTCTCCTTTCATTTTTATCCCCTACAGTTGATTCTTATTGATCTATCATATAATACAGAATGACATAACAGAAATACATAAAACATAGGAAGTTATCTTCTTTAAAACTAACGCGGATAATTCGATGAAGAAAAAGTATAATACTTCTATTGTATTCCATTGCATTTTAAATATGCAATAAAATAGTTCTTGATATAGAAAATATTTACACAGATTTATTCAATATTTTTCAAGTTATTCAACATCATAAATTTTTAAAATTATTAATATAAAATATATTTCAAGTAAATGTTAATGAGCTCGACAATTATTTTATTTAGCCATTATTTTATTCTATTTTATTTTACTAAGCAATTTTATTTAGCTTTAGTTCCGTAAGAAGCCTCTTCCAAAATTAGTAATTGTTAATTTTCTCAATGTTAATTTAAAGTAAGCTACAACAATTTAAAAAAAAAATTTACACTAGATTTAAAAAAAAAAGCTTTATTACATTAACACGCTTCAATCTGTAAAAAGTATAAAAAAGTATTTATTTTTGCATAAATAAGATTACTCAATTTTTTAATTTTTTTGTTTATTTGTTCACATGAATAATTAATTTTAGGCTACTTTTATTTATAATATTACCAGAGTAATTAAAATGATCACCTCTAAATATTATAGATTTACAATGATGCATTTTTATAAGATATATAAAAGTTTTTGTTCTTTATTGTATTATAAACTTTTCCTACTCTTTCATTTTTCTAATATAAATCGTGTATTAATTACAAAATTAATTATTTATTAATTTTACATGAGTTTTATAGTGAGTTTATCATAGCATATTAAATTACTTTTATAAATTATAATATAAAATAAAAGTAGGTATAGTATATAAAAATATATTGTAAAATAAATATGAATGAAATAAATAATAATAGCAATCTATAAAAGAAACATTGCATTTTACTTAAATTGCAATCCATATCGCAGATTATTTAGCAAGATTTATTTAATCCTACTGTTATTCATTCAATTTTTTGGACATTATGGAATATGTAGGTATATGCTTCTGCAGTTCATTTGCATTTCATAGGCTTCTCCTTGAATATTTTGAATAATGTGCTTATGCATTAAATATATATTATTAGAATTCTGGTTTAGCGCATTACCCGAAGGAGAATACATAATCATAGATTAAACGTTGAAGAATATAGTGCTATTCACACTGCATTAGGCCTGAAATAATTGATAATATTTATCAATAAAATTTCTAAATTTCATTTATAATAAAATAATTATTGTAACATATACTAGAAAGTAAGCTATGAAGTAAGAATACTATGAAAATATATTAAAATAAAGAAAGCAAAAAAAGATATATCTACAAACCAAAAAAAATTTATCTAAAATATTTCATAAATTTGTAATATATATCAATAATAACTTGAGAATGTATAAATAATTCAATAAATTGTTAATTCAATTATTTAACAACTCCGTTTATCATAACGTAATCTACAATATATTGTAATAAAGACTAGGAAAATATAAAAAGACTTGGAAGAACTGCTACTTGGAAATTTTTCATTGTATTTATTGACAAAGAAAATTGATTTTGCTGTAGGTCTTCATAGGATTGAAAGAGTAAGTCCATTCATTCGCTCAACGTAAAGGATTTACTTCTTTGAGAGTATAGAGATATATTCATATATATATACATTTTTTTAAGATTCATTTTAAAAATTAGGAGATTAAATAGTAAAGTTAATATCAATTGATTTATGTCTTATTCAGATACTAAGTGAAAAGAAAAGCAAAATGACAAGAAACAAATCCTATAAAAATGTTTAAATTGTAGTAACAGTAATAAAATGATTCGAACAAAATTTGTAAACTTGTATCTTTCGCTACAGATATTTTGAAATTCGATATGCTACCGCGATAACAAAGAAAGACTATATTTGATAGTATTGTTACCAGTATATCAATATAATAGACTGTATTTTTCAGAAAAATTAGTTTCGAATTAGCGCCGTCAGTTCATCCTTCGTGTTGCTCTGTACAAAATAAAATAACAGTGTCCCTCAGTGTGTAGAAGAAGATATAGTTTTCTTCTGTGCGTGTGATGAAGTCCACAAATGTCACCAAAATAACTTTAAGTCGATTCTATCCGCAGTGAAGAAAATTGTGCCAATTTTTAAAGAAATTTCGAGTGTAGTATAAAAGACAGAAGATTGCCACTTTTTGGAGCCAATATGACGTATGAAATCCAACTGAGAAACTTCCGCCGGGAAGTAATGACAATAAAATTCGTGTCATAATAAAATCATATAATAAAATCACATCATAATAAAAATTTTTAAATATCAGAATATGTAATACAAGAATGCGTAATAACTAATAACTAATAAATAACGATAATTTTAATGTGATTTTCAAAAGGTGATTCGTGTGGTTATTGCAAAGTCAAATAGATAACAGCATAGTATGTTCCCTTTGGTGCCATACAATTCTTATCTGAAACATTTTTTCGTATCATTCATATTTTCCCAGATACTCCAGCATTTCCAGTTAAACCATAAAATGTAAAAAGAAATGGCTGTGGCATTTAACACTTCGCCGGGATGACATTTCCGTATAGTGTAAGTCCATTTTTATTGTCGCCATGGCGGCGTAAACAATTTAGCGAAATAATCTGTAAATAGGTATAACGATGGGCGTGTGCTATTTACACGAGTAAATGGTTTTCCGCGTCTACCAAGGCGCGTGTAATCCAAACGAACGAGGACAACGTTGTCGACAGTGGCGATGCAGCTGCTGCAACAAGCAACTTTCGTACTCTGACACTTATGCACTATTTCTCTGTCTCCTTTGCCGCAACGGCAACCTTCGACCTCGACTTCCACGCTATCGCGTTGCACCTGTCGCGAGCTATTTTGCTTGTAAATAGATCGCGCGCAAAATCCGCCTGTATTTTCGTCGAGATTCCACTGTGACGACAACTTGCAGAGTTGACATCCTTTTCCTTTCGAGTTTGTCATTTATCGCGCGTTCAGTTAACATTGTGATTCATAATGTTGCTAATTATACTTCCTTACAAACTTATTAAATATTAGGAAAGTGGATTAAAGGAAAACGTTTTTAATGAAGAATTGTATCGAGAACTATTTTTGGGAGAAAAATTTTTATTTCTTGTATTTATGACGAGAGATTGAACATATGAACAGGTGGTTTACGAGTTATTCAAGTTATATTTACGAGTAATAAGTTATAGTGTAAAAACTGAATTTATAATCTATCAAAATATTTAATTTAAATCAAATTAAGTATTTGTAAAAAGTAACCTTATTTATTAATTCTATTATAGAAATTATCTGTATAATTACTTAATTTTATAAATTCTATACTTTTATTTGTATTAAATACTTTTTGCAAATAACTTTATTATAATATAAATCAAATATAAAAATACTATTAATAAATAAAATGTACATTTTTAATATAAAATATATATATAAAAAGTCCATTAATATATAATATTTTTAATCTATGTTTGCATCATAATTCTTACAAAATATTCTTTGTAAGCTGCAACACTTCAAAACAAATAATCACTTTATAACTTAATCTCTGTCCAAATTTCTCGTCATATATGTACATATATTCATTTAATTTGCGAGTGAATAAGGCAATTCAATTATTTTCAAAAAGATGTATGTATGTAGAGATGAAGAAAAATCTAGCAAGAAACATAGAGACCACAGAAATGATATTTTCTTCCCTTCATTCATTTTCACTCATTTCACAACGTTATATAATTTTATCTGTGTATATTATACTTTCAGCCAATTACGATTATATGAGATCTATCTAAATAATTAATGAGACCTATTTTTCTTTAGCTACACTTCTCGTTTCTACATACAGGGTATCCACAAAGTCTCTATACAATTTCGAAAATTTATTACAAAGGCAAATGAAAAGACAGATAAGTGGAAATTATTTCAAATTGGAAAAGAAATCGAGTACCGTCTTGATGTGCTTCGTGCAACTAATGGTGCCCATATAGAGGTGTGTTAAATAAGATAGAAAAAACTCAAATATATACATCTCATTTCGTAATAATTTTCACTTATCTGTCTTTTCATTTGCCTTCGTAATAAATTGTAAAGAGATTTTATGGACACCCTGTATAATAAAATCACAGTACATGTAATAAAATCAAATCCTTTGAAGTTTCCTGGTGCATACATACGTATATCAACACTGATCTCTCAAGGACTAAAACTTTTTATTTCCAATAAAGTTCACCTAGTCTCTTTACATATGCATTACATCTGAACGATTCATCATTCACACTTTCAATTCTATTCATATTGATTACAAAAATTTGTAAAAGTTACAAACAACACAAGTGTTAAAAATTCTCCTTCAAAGAGTTAAATGATTTGAGGGAGAAACACGTGAAAGCTGATTTCTTTAAACGATCGTAGCAAGAATGAAACATCGTAGAAAACTATAGTCTGTTCCTCTCATCTCTAGAGGGATTAGCAGCTATCCAGTCGAGGGCGCGCTGAATAAGAATTGGTATGGGCTGCGTGGGTGGTGGTGTTGGCAGATGTGCCCCTTGGAAAGAGACACCATTTTCGTTGGCTAGCCAGCCAAGGTTGATTCTCGTTCCATCTGGCGCCGTCCACGAGGCCGACCCGCGAACTTCTTCGGCCTCCGCATCATTTTGGCCACGATTCTTCAGAACACCCTCCTCCTCGACGGCGATGCCATTAGCGGTTTCCCATTTGGAGAAAAAACTTCCATCCGGACTGATATCTTGACTTTGACTGACGATGGCGATCGGTTTATCCGCAGCTAGCACCAGAGCCACCAGATTCAGCAGGAAAATTGTCCGAAGGTACATTATGCAAATATGATGGAGCGGTCTCTGAAAGAAGTTATTATTATTACCATGACACGTATCTGTGACATTGTAACATGTGACGTACAGTGACTCTTATCAATATTCGGACACTTAAGTAAGGAAGTTATTGCAATTTTGTAAAGAAAATTATTTTAAAACTCGAAACCTCTACTTTCAAAACGCGTCGTTCATTTTATTCTAAAGTAATTTTATACCACGTAGCGAATAAATGACCGAAGATATCTTTCTTCTCGAAAATGCTATAAATTGTAAATTTTCATGATTTAATCTAAAGTGGGTTCGAAGATTAAAGTCTTCTTTTTGCAACGACTTCTGAAAATTTGAGGTATTGTTATTATTGTTATTTTTTCTTTGTCATTTTGTTGAATTTTGATTAGACTTAGATGACGAAAATTCAAGAAATTGTAACATTTTATGTTCGTTTTCACCTAATATTTAAAGTTCCATAAATTGGCGAAAAAAATCATGTAACAAATTTCGGGAGATCGTTTAATATGAAGGCTTTAATTTTCAAAACTATTGTAGAGTCAGTCTCGAAAAAAATTAAAATGTTTTCATATACTATAATAATTTACAGCATTTTCGAAAAGAAAAGTTTCTTTACTTTGCCATCTGCTAGTGCAAAAACATTTTAGAATAAAGTGAACGCATTTTGAAAATAAAAGCTTCAAACTTCAGAAGCCCAAGTTTATTATTATATGATTTTTTTTTTTGAGATTATACATACAAAGACATACATATACACATATTTATACCATCAGATATTTTCTTAAATTCACTTAAAAAATTAGTAGATTAAATGATAAAGTTACTATCAATTTATCATTAGTATAATTTCAATGAATAATCTAATTTTAACTAACAAGTTAATCGAAATCTGTAAAACGTTCAAAATTCTTCTTTTTTCTATTTTAAATATTTGAGATTTAATAAGTGTATCCTTCGTCTCAAAAACTGAAATATTTTTTACTTTTTGAACTTGAATATACAAACCTTTTTGTATATTTTTCAAAATGGTAATAATATTATAACTAATTAAAACTTCAGTAATAAAACTAATATTACAAATAAAATATTTATTTCTTGAAAGAAATTTTTATTTCATTCGAATCTTAATTCTTAGATTGTATCCTGAAGTCACATTTGGCTATAATAACATAATTTATATTATATTACGAAAATTTAAGTTATTTAATTTTATTTTACATTTTATATTTTCTCTGTTACAAATTAATACTAGTAAAATTAAATCAAATAAAAAACTTCAAAATTACGTAATGTAAAAGCCTAAATTATTATGGTTTTCAATGATATTAATTAAGGTTAACATGATCTAAATTTTTGCGTAATAATGTTATAATAATAAACTATGATTAATTGTATTCTTTCATAGAGGTAGAACTACTACGTATCATAGTTTCATCGATTAATTACCATATATTTCATTAAAATCGTGACAAATGATCAATCATAAATCTAACTGATTAAGTATAAGTAATTTTCCATTTAGGCCGGTTAATTCGATTAAGTTGTTTTATGAACGTGGTGATTAGATTAAGCGCTCTAATGTAGGATAAGTGATTGGAACAATATGCATATCGATAGAACGTGCACACACTAAGATAATAATCGAAAGCCTATCGATTATACTTGTTAATTATTGATGGTGTCGACGCAATTGTCTAACCTTGCCTTGCGAATTTCCAGATAGCACGTACAAAATCCTACTGGCAAGCTCACGTCCATTATGTGCACCTTTTATACTTTGAAATACTCTACGCTATCACCGACATTTTCCGTTCAAATGTCATTCGATGATGTCGGTTCAGCCTTTGTATAACCGGTATCACGTAAGTACTAAAGGAAACCTTTCCGGCTATGTTATGGGATGAACAACCTGCAATCAATCCTCGCCTAGATCGTCAATTATCGTGGAGTAGGATTTTGTAAGGAAATTAAATAATATGTGTAATCATCGCGTCAGCGAGTTTGTCATTTCTTTTCTACGAAAAAAAATAAAGATTTGAAGACAAATAAAAAAGTAGAATGCAATGCAAATGATTATAGATCTAATATTTTCCAATGTAGAGTTCATTTCTTTCACGTGAAAAATTAATCTTGTATTTTATTTCTTTGATATGTGTTGGTTGAGATATTTTACTATTAAATAACATCTGGAAGAGATTAGAAATGCTCCTTTTATACAATAGTTAAATATTGTTGAATTTTTCATATGACATTTAATACCAGTCATTACCATTCCAATTATTTCGTTTTATCATTAAAGACAAAAAACATTTTAAGATTAAAAAAATTAAAAATTAAAAAATTATAACAATTAATATTCAGATAATTATATTCAATTAATGCATTAGAAAAAGCTTTTTCTAACTACTTTATATTAGAATTTGAATAATCTAATCACAATGCAATTAAGTAATGTGTAATTACATCATTCTCAAATTATTTTCAATAGATCCATACTTGGCAACTATTTTGCTTTTCCGAGATTATTTAAAATGCAACATTGTTAAAATAATGATATACATTATAGATAGAATATTAAAATGCAAATAATATCTTTAAACAGGTTTCTATATTTTTTTACACTGTATTGAATGTCGCGGGTATAATACAACGAAAAATAAGAATTGATAAATTACCAAAATTGAAAAACTGTTATCTTAACCGAAAATCATCCAATTTTTGCACTGATAAATTATTTTCTCATAACACAAATACATTAATTATTATATGTCCCTCTTCATTTTTCATATTACAAATTATAATATTATTTAAACTAAACATTTTTAGGCACAAGTACTTTAATACTGAGTATCTTAATACTATAATAAATATATATATATCAATTAATCGATAAACAATATAGAGGTTTATTTAAAAATACAATTCTGAATAATATTAATAATAATATTATAACAATTATACGATTATAACGTTATGTTATAATTGAATCGAATGATATAATGTTGTAATAATAAATATATATAATAATAATACAATTATAATAGTAATTCTTTCATATGTAAAGATAATTAATCTCATTACGATGAAATTTCGCACATCACGTGCTCATTGTTTCGAAAAGTGATCTGTCAAGAAAAGCATAATCCCATTGAGCGGAAACAATGACTCTTGAATACGTACAAAGTATTATACTGCCCCACAATAGTATCCAGGATTTTTCATTGCGACAAGCGTAATCAATCATTTCTTTCTCTAAATGTTCGACACACTTTAGAACTTGTAGAAGGAAAAAAAAAACGATTTAAAAAACACATGTTTTCTTCGTAGTTTGTGAGGCAATGTCGAATGAGTCACGACTCAACTATAATTATTAGAAATTTTGTAATTGTTTCTCAACCTTTCTGATTCGAATTATCAGTTTGCGTGTTTCGCACTTTGAACGGTTTCAGGCTATGTTTCGAAACTTCTGGCAAACCTAAATTATGTAGGATCCCAAAAAAAAGAGAAGACTCTTCGATGAGCTAGAATCAGGAATTTTCATGACACGAATGACTAAATAACTTGTGAAAAAATTATGTTTTCTGAAGTAATAAATTGTAACTTGGAAACGCGATACTTTATTACATTAATTTAAAAAATAATTTCTAGGAGCTATATACAAAAAAGGTTATACTGCTTTCCATGACTTTCAAATATATATATTGTCAAATGAAAAAAACATACTGTCAAGTGTAAATAATTGCTCAATTTTCATTTTAAATAATGTGTAAATACATGTTCGATTCGTTTAATATAGCAAAATATTAAAAAATGAATAGAAGGAAAGATTTATTGCAAAATTATTAAATTTAGAAGTGAAATTGCAAACATTCGCAAAATACTGATATAACATTCATTCTCAGTTACCTTAGATTTAAGCTACATAAAAAATTTATTTTTATTGCTATGTGTGATTAAAAATATAATTTATTGTATAGAAAACTTAATCTACCATTAAATTTAAATTTAAATTTAAATTTGCAAATATTATAAATATCCTCTTCGTAATCCTGTTCGTAAATTACTTGTACTGGAAACCAAAAATATATTTTTTTAAAGATGAGTTGCAAAAAACTTGATTTGAAGTATTTTCTGCAAGTTTCTTTAGATTCTTCTAGGTTCTCTAAAAATTTTCTAGATCTCTTAATCAGAGTATTCTGTACAGGCGCACTAGAACATACAGTATTGTATGTACATACATACAAGAGTAGATAACAGAATAATCTTGCTAGTAAATTAGTTCGTGTTCGTATTTTACTAATTTATTTATAAAAATGATAAAGGCATATGTATTGAAATTACTATTTTACAGATTTCATAAGCTCTCTATTTTAATTCTATTACGTAAATATTATTATGTAATTTAATTTGGGATACTATTAATAATTAATTAATATAAACGATGACACGCGTTTGAAGTTAATGCTTTAGTAGCTTGTATCGTTAGTGCCATCGGAAATGTTCTAATAGCTTGAACCTTTTACAAAGTTGCTGCTTCGGATCTCATTAAAGCTTGACTTCATCAAGTTTGATACATTTGCCATAAAGTTTCAACACGTCTACTGTCTTGTAATTGATACCCTTTAAGCAATAACATTTTCTTCTCGCGATAACTTACATGTTCTATTCTTAGACATGAAGCAAAATCATGCCTGACATTCGCAACTTTCGGTTTCAGAATGATGTCGAACAAGCGTGCTGTTGCAAATTTTAGAACGATAATTGGAAAGGATAATTGGTCTTACGTAATAATTGACAACGTTGCTTTTAATATGATAAGAGAATTAGGAGTAACGCTCCTAAACATGTTTCAATGTTCAAATGAGAAACAATGTGTAATTGTAAAATTTGTAATATTACTACGAAGAAATTTTTAGCTTTTTATGCTGTTTTCCAAGTAAAATCATAAGAGAGTGTCATATAAAGAATTATAATTTTTTTTTTATAAAAGAATATTTTAAAAGTTATTTATAAAAGAATTAAAGAAGATTTCATTAATCTCCAAATATATTGTGATTTTGATATTCACAATATATTGTGAATGAACTTTAAGCAAAGTTATATTACATTATACTCGTATTATTATACATTGATTATCATTTAGATTCATATATCAAATTTAAAGAAATGTAAACATTTTTAGACATAAGCAAATAGTATCGAGATTGAAACTCTAGATTAAAAGTTTTTATTAGATGTACTTTATTTAATTATTTTTCTTATTTTTATTTAATATATCGATAAAAAAATATATGATTATTATATAGGTCAGCAAAATATCTTCTTTTTATTTAATATAATTATCAACAAAAATCTGTAGCATTATTTTAAATAAAAGCAAAATATGAACGATCTTTGATTTAAAATTTGAATAAAAATGCATTGAAAATTATTGGATTATGGATTTCAAAATGAAAAAAAGGAAGATCTAGTGAATTTTTAATTCATTTATATAAAATACATTTTATGAAAAAAATGCCCTTATTTTTTAGAATCTTTCAGTTATAAAAATATTATTCGATAGATTAAAAGAATTTTTCTCTACGATTTCAATTTTTATCATCACGTAAATATTTTTTTGTAATCTTCAAAAATTTTACAAAATTTTGTTCCATGTTTTAGCTTGAAATGTACCAGTTCTGTCAAAATACAACAAATTTAATCGATTAATTACCTTACGATTTTCTCCTCAATCTCCAGTAAACATTAGTTATTATAATGTATTACATCATGCCAGATGTAAAGCATTGAAAGCATTATATACACATAATTTATATTTATTCATCTTGAATTTGAAGATTTGAGATTGAAAATTCAAATTCATATACGGCTATAATTTATTTTTTCTTTCAAATCGGAATCATAGTTTCTTAAACTTAATTTAAAACTCAAAGGACTAATCGTTGGATTAAAAAAAAAAAAGAAAAAGGAAAAAAGGAAAAAGATAAATTCGTTGAACGTCACGGCAGACAAAAAGAAGATTCTTCGGCAAAATGTTTTTATTTATATACAAAAATCACAAGTTAAAGTATACGTATAATATATACTATCGACGCTCGATACACGTCCTTGCAGCTGCGACAGCGTCATCCATTTTTCGCGTTTTATGTATGTGAAAGCAGCGTGCGCGCATCGGCACGATCCTGTCGTAAACTGTTGAACAGTGCGCATTACTTTCATCTATACAGGTAAGATAAAGAATCTCGAAGTATTATTATATATCGGCTGGCTCGCGCCATTTTTTTCTGTTATGTGTAATCCTAGATTAATAAACCACACTATATTTATTTTTATGATCGCATCGGAGGCTCAGGGTCGGTTCTGTCCATGGCAAGCTGGCTCGAAATCAGGTCACGTTTGAGGTATAGTTGGGCTGATTAACCTGCGGAACGAGAAGCTTGTTAATTGCCAGAAAATACTTTCCACTTCGTTAACGTAATTTTTGAATTTATTATTAAATAAATCGTTCTCTCAATGTGAAGCATACTCTGCCAAACATTTTTTCCACAAATCAAGAATGAAAGTCTTCATATTTTTTAATTTTAACAGTATTTTCTACTTAATCGATTAATTTAATTTTAACTTTTAGGAGGATTTTTAACAATTACTGAACTGCATAAAAAGATGTGTATTTTCTTCGATTTCAGACGAAATTTAAGAAATTGCAAAACATTTATTGTAAACATATATTTAATAAAAAATTAGAATACAGAGTGGTTTAATAGGTCTTATCGTTAGTATAGAGAGATTCAATTACTGAACTAAAGAGATGTATTGGAATCTCTAAATGACCTCATTTAGTATATTAAGGTTTAACACTGTAATCAAAGACTATTATCCCTGTATATGATCACTAGACTGTGAATTTTTATACAAATTGTGAATACAATTAAAAAAGTTAAATAAAGATTTATTTCACTCGCTAAACATATCTAATGAATAGTTCGGATATTTTATATATTTTTGTATGTTTTATAATTGCACGTGCGTTTTATAATTATATGCATAAAAATCCGATTTTAACTTATGTGTCATGCGATTAATTTTCGTTTCTATGAAACTTCTTTTATATATAGAAAGCTGATGAAACTCTAAAAAAGTATTTTTCACTTGCTGCAAAATTAATAATAATTAATAATAATAAAAAGAGAAAGTAAATTTCACGATGTGAAGTTTCGAAATGAATGTAAAATGCGAGAGTCAGTTTTACAGACGCGTTGCGACGCGGAAACGGGCGATTTAACTGGAGACCGTGAAAACTCAAAATCTCATTAGGGTAGGAAAAAAGAACATACCTCGGCCAGGTGGTCGTGGTTGACCGCCGTCATCCTCTTCTGGATGAGCCGCGTTCCACTCGAGCGCCCTTTGAATTTCTGGCGGTATCGGTGGTGCCGTGGGGATGTGAGAGCCTTGCACTTGGAATCCATTCTCGTCTGCTACGTATGTGATACTGACTTGCTGGCCATCCGGCGCCGTGTAAGAATCAGAGCCCTGCGAGACAACCGGTGTCTCGTTATCTACTTGTTTAGGCTGTCCCGATTCTTGGTGACTGATTCCGTTGCTTGTCTCGAAGCTGAACAATAATTACACAAATAGCATTGAACTTTGCGTTGATTGAACTAATGTTCATTCTGTAAAAAAATAATTATTTGATCAATATATTGAATTAAACACCGAATCAGACCCTTTGATTACATTTTGTTTTAAATGTGTGTTTGCTAATGTGTGTTTTGAATCGAATTATGCTCGGATCTTTTCCTTTTATAATTAGTGATGAATACAAGAGAATTATATTTTCAATATTATTGATTTAAATAAAATGAGGCAGAAAATGGCTGAATTAATAAGCTTCGATTATTTTTCTGGGACAAATTCATCAAGATAGTGAAAAAAAATTTCATGCTTAAGGTGTTAATACTTTCTAAAAGAAAAGAAAGCACAGAATTATAGTATTTGTACAATCTTAATAATTTATGAGGATATTTAAAAAATTGTGCATAATAAAATTTTTAAGACAATTGCCATTCGAAAATAATTATTATCATTAATTGGGAAATGGGTAAGATGAACATTAATTTTGTACAATCACGCTTTAATTAACACTTGACAGTGCACAATATCTGTAATGAAAACTGTATACTTTGGAAGTAGCAGTCTAAAGTTTCAACGGTATTACATTTAGCTTTATTGACGTAGTGTTGATCTATACTAATACTCTCGAGATATTCAATGAAGTTAAATACAACTGATGTAATATTGAAACATTTATTCAAAGGGATGCTGTTCATTTTAAATATTTTAAGTAATATTAATTTTCTGATTTCATATTGCATAATTTTAAAATAACTTAAAATTTAATCTACGATTAAATTATTTTATTAAATACTTTGTAAATGCAATACTATTTAAGTATTAAGTCAACTAAAAGTTAAATAATAATTTATTATATATTTATATACCTACATACATAAGCTTATATAAATTAAAAATAATATTTGAAATAGTATACAATATAGTCCAATATAAAGACTATTTTTACATTATATTATTAAAAATCTATTAATCTAAATCTAATTATAATAATCTATTTATCAAAATCTAATTGAATTTTGAATAAATGATTTTAGCAAAAAAAAAAAAGACTAAGATTTATTTTCTGTTGTATTTGTCAATCTTAGATATAAAGATGCACGAAAGTAATTAATAATTATCGATAATACGATATGGTTAGAAAGACGCGCCGTTATAATTGAAAGAAAAGATTCAGCTAGGTAGCCGTCACTCCTACTCATGAATAACGATGTACTTATGCAGAACAGAGATTACAGTGGGCGACAATTGCGAATCATGTGAATAAGCCAGTGCCATTGGACTGGGATACCTGTTATCTTCTGTATATTGTCTTCAACGTCTGTGATTACTTTGCTCATTGTACGTTCACGTGCCAGCAACGAGTAAAGGTCTCGTCTAGTGAAATATCCAACAGACACTTTAACTTTGAATTCGATATTGTCTATGCTTTCTGAAAGTTAATTAATTGTAGTTGTATGATTGTGCACCCCTATCCTAGCGAATGGAATAGAGACAAAAACTGAAATTCTCTCAGAGAAATTAACTTCGTGTAAAACCTGGAAAATCTATAATAAATGAAATTAAATTTAAATTAATTAGTTAAAAAAAAATAGAAAAAAATCTAAAAAATTAAATTTATAATAATAAGTAAATTTCCAATCTATAATAAGTAAAAATACTAATCTAAAAAAATCTAACTGAAAAGATTCTATTTATTAGATTTGAATGTTGCGTGCTTGTTCATAGAAAACATTTGAAATTTTAGTTTTATCTAACTCCCCATCAGCAATCTGACTCGTTTAAATCGTGAGCGAAATTTTATTGGTGAATTTTAGCACAAGCATCGAATTTCAAATATTTGACTTAAGAACTAATTATATAGTCTAGTAAAATCTTCAGTAAGTAATCTAAATTTTTCCTACATTTCTCAAAAGCTCTAAAATTAAAAGCAAAAAATTTAGATGTGATCATGAACAATACAGCTTTCCTTGACAATGTGATAATATGTTTTTTAATCTCCATGGAGGATTAAATTCAAAATTTATAATACAACTTTTTCTGTACAGAAGCTATGAGTCTTTCTATATTTTTCTACGTTACCCTGATCTATCTCTGTTTTGCAAGAATAAATAAAGTGACGAGGTTAATTTATCGTTAGTCGTAAATTTTCTTGGCATTTGTTGCAACAAACTATTTCTCTTTCAACGATGTCCTCACATAAACTTACTTATTGACATAATTGCCGTCAAAGTTGACTTCGAGCTGCTGAGATGTGATCACAGCATCTTTGTCAGCGCCACTGGAGGGAGGTCGTTGAGGAGCAGCTAATGTCGCCGTCGTACAAAGTACGACCGCCACTAACACCTGAAATAATAATAAGTAAACAATAAAATTAATAACACATTCGTTTCCCATACGAAATTTATTATTCGTTCGAAATTCAAAGGTAAATTTTTGAAAAAAGAAGATATGGAAGATAAATTTTTAACATATTTTAAATATTATAATAACAAAATACGATTGCATATAAATAATTTGTAAAAAGTACTCAACTATATAAAAAAAGTAATTAATTAATGTGCTAATAGAAAAAGGAACATCACGTTTAATTAAATTATGAATTTTGTAAAGAGATGTAAAATTAAAATGTTTCTTACGAAAAAGTTATTACAAAACAAAGTAATTATAGTTGGCTACGCTATAAACGGAACGTGCAACATGAAATTTTCTTAATTTAACACCTGAGTATCTGCTTACAGACTGATCTGCGTAACTGTTCCCAATTTTCATTCATTTCTATTTCCCCACTTATACTATTTTATATTTTTATTTGTACTTTCCTATTTTTACATGTTCAGGTTTTATATATTTGTTATATACGTTCTTCAATACATCTGCTATTGCTCGATTATTTTATATTCTTAATGTACAAAAAATGAATTATATATGAAACAAGGTCTTAATTATAACGCTTATAATAATATAATACAATAGTTAGCGATCTGTGATCTCACCTATAATAATTGTATATGTTTCAATGTCTTTAAGTAAATACTTGATGAATAATCATATTGCAAATATTCCTATCCCATTGTAGAAAACCATTGTGAACAACTGCTACAGTTGAATCTGCATCGATCTCCTATAGACGACGAACAAGATCCACACCAATTAAGTTTAATTGGAACGCGAGTTTTTAACTTACATTGCCTCTCGTGACTGACAAAGTGAGGTAGCGCCTGGGAAATCCGTGGACCATGAGAAATGCCAGTCCCTAACACTATTTGCAAAACCTTTCGTTCAAATATTCATAGAATTCGTGAAAGTAATGCAACCGCAGCCATGGCGTGGCACTGTGTGGCGCGGCTGCAAAGGGCAAGCAAAGATGATAATGCCTCGAGACTGCACGACGCGGTTACATCAGTTGCAAATGACATTATGAAATACAACGTAATGGCAGGACGAAAGTGGTACCCGTGTAATGTGCCCGTTTTCCACTGCACGACCGTGGAACGTGTAATTTCATTCAAGAACCCCATCAGCCGTGAATCTGCTCGAACGAAAAATTCATGAGCTAAATGTCAGCCTGATCGAATCGCTTTTCATCGTTACCTTTTGTTTCTTACAAGTATGTATGGGCATCTCCAAGCAAAAAGAACAGAATCATTATATTCAAACTTGAGTGATTCTTTTTCTTTTTTTTTTTTTTTTTTTAAGCTGATAAACTGGTCTTCAAATACAACGAATCATTAGACATGGGATCAAATCAATTTGAGCCAAGTTCGATAACCAAAGTTTACCGAATTTCGAATGTTGCTTCGAAAATAAAAATGTTTCAATTATTTGCTTTATGTATTCAAATCAATTTGAGCCAAGTTCGATAACCAAAGTTTACCGAATTTCGAATGTTGCTTCGAAAATAAAAATGTTTCAATTATTTGCTTTATGTATTCAAATCAATTTGAGCCAAGTTCGATAACCAAAGTTTACCGAATTTCGAATGTTGCTTCGAAAATAAAAATGTTTCAATTATTTGCTTTATGTATTCGTTTTATACGTGCTAGTTGAGTTTTATACCTACAGGTTTTGCAAATTTGCTCGAAAGATTAATTCGATATTTGTAAATTTCTTAACTTTCACAAACAGTATCTGAATTTTGGAAATTTCCTATCTCTAGAAAACTTGAAAAAGAAGCCCAATAATTAGACACAAAAATGATATTGCTTGTATCACATACGAGTGTGACTCGTTAACGAAATTTGATTCAATGCAAAAGTGGTATAGGTCAATTATTTGATCATTTGGTTTAACATATTTTGAAATGTACCTTGTACACTATTAGTATCTTATCGAATGTTATTTTACTATTTCACTATCTTATTGTTCTATACTATTTTATAAGGTATAACTTTACAATTTACATAGAAGAAATGTAACATTCTTTGACACTATTGCATTTTACAGAATTTTTGTACTTCATTATCCAGAAATTATCTTTTTACTAAACTTATACCACGTTTGTGGTTACTAAATGGCTTATTTATGTCTCTTTAATTCTCAAGCTTTCATCTTGAGGCCAGTGACTGAAGATTCGAGCCTACTTATGAAATACACGATCTCATTTCTAATTTTTACTATCAAACAATCCGACGAATCTTGATAAAATCGTTTCAGAAAACGTGGAATTGTTCCTCAACCTCCGTCGAAATATTTGAACTTGCATTCCTGAATGCAGCGCGTAAATGACAAGGCACGTAGTCGCCGAGCATGGCCGAAGATCGGATTGCGGCCTCGGTGGCCCTTAATCTTGTCCGTAACGCGTTTCTAATTACCAATCACGTGCAACAGCGCCATATCAATGGAACGTTATCCTGGACAAGATTTCATTCTCGTAACAATGTAATCGATATTTCGATTCTCCTTGACCGTATGACCGAGCTGAAACAAGCGATCGCTTCCTACGTGTCGTGTTCACCGCGTAAACAATGGAACGCGCGGAAGGCCAAGCGGTAGCTATTCAACCAAGGGGAAAAGAACAAGGAAGGAAATCGGAGAGGCCTGCCGGACTGTATCCTGTCTTCGTATTTCTTCTCTCTCCATCGAGCTATATCGAAGCGTTTCTCGCGTAACGTGATAGAAAAATCTCGGTGTTTCAGACGCTAATTCCACCCGTGTCCCGTTTCTATGCTGCCTCAGCCGCGAAAATGACAAAGCGTGAACAGTTTCACAAGTGCCACGCGGAACGGAGGAGGAATTACCGGCGGCGGTAATGACGCGCCGCGTCCACCGACTCTTCTCACCGTGCAATCAGACGGATTATGAAAGAACCGGGCAGACACGAAGCCGCTTCTGCTTTTCATTCATAAGGTCAAACGATCATCGAAGAGAGACCCGTGTCTGAAAGGTGTGCACCGGCGCTTTCCGATACGTTCGTTGATTGTCAATTTCGCTCCTCCGTGTATTGATATTGGATTTCGAATCGAAAAACCAATTCAAAACCATTTTCGATCTTCGACGGCGGGATCTTTTTTTTTCCTGCTTTTTTTTCGTGTATTCTTTCCTTTTATATTCAATCGACGTTTTTTTTTTTTTTTTTTTTTTTTTTTTTTTTTTTTTTTTTTTTTTTTGGTTTTTTTTTTTTTTTTTTTTTTTTTTTTTTTTTTTTTTTTTTTTGTTATTTCTGGCAGGTTAGAGCGGTGTTTTAGTTTAATCCGTATTTACTTCTTTTACTTGTATTACATTTCGCATTCAACTCGCATTTAGACTTAATTACAATAATCCGTCTGCTTTTCGTTTCACGCTGCAACCGTTAATAGTTCCGATTTTTGATCCACGCGGTTATTATCAGCCAACGACCTTTATTAAATCCCTCCGGATCCTTTTTTCCAATTAATACACCGGCGGACCAAGGCAACCAAGCGCGTCCCGTTTCGAGACCTGCGGCCACAAAGGATGTCTCTTTAAACTTCCCTGCGAAGTGAAGTTCGCGAAATAAGTTAACTCGAGCAGCTCGGCCCGAACCCAAGCAAGCCGAATAGCGCCAGAGCGTCAGCTTATTTTTCATTTAAACGACGATGAAAGTTAACCGAGCCAGTAATAACTGGGGGCGGATGAGGAGGGAAGGGGGTAGCAAAGTGTCCGTCAGCTTTTACTCCACTTCCTCCACAGAGGAGAGAACAAAGAATTCCTCGACACCGCACTGATCCATCCAGTCAAGAGAATTTATATTTCGCAGCAACTTTAATGGCGTGTCGTTATTCGTTCGATAGCCTCCGAACTGGCAAGCAACTTCCTCTTCCTCTCTTGCGGTCCGAAGATACGTGCAACACGATCTTCATCCCCCCGCGTTTCATCGTTATTCCGATCGTTTTCGTTTCTTTCCCTCCCCATCTGTTTCCTCTTCCCTGTGACATTCTGCTAAATTGCACCGTTAAAGGACGCCGTCGCGGCATCCTTCGCTTCGTGCTCGCGGTTTAAGAGTCGCAATGCCACTGGATTATGCTCCCAGCGTCTCTTCAAACAAGAATACGCTCCGTCTTTTCTCTCGTTCAGACCGGATAAACTCTCGCGGATTCTCGAATTACTCGAGGCGTAACGGTGATCGCTTTCGCGGAAAGCGGCGGATTTTGCCGAAATTTGATATTCGAACAGGATGATGCTTCAAAGTTTTGACATCAGGAGATTTTCCTAGTTTACTAAAATAAACTATAGATTTGTGGGAAATTTCCGAGACGGAGTATTTATTGCAATATACAATAGTTTGCAATTTCTTTTGGTTACAAAAGTATAAAAAAAGTATAAAAAATCGTGCGTGTTCGATTTTTCCCTAGAAGAGATACAGAGAGTTCGGACAATATTTTAAAATTTTGATATCGGCAGATTTTTTAACTAAACTATAGATTTGTGGTAAAATTTCCGAGACAGAGTATTTATTGCAATATACAATAGTTTGCAATTTCTTTTGGTTACAAAAGTATAAAAAAAGTATAAAAAATCGTGCGTGTTCGATTTTCCCCAGAAGAGATACAGAGAGTTCGGACAATATTTTAAAGTTTTGATATCGGCAGATTTTCTAACTAAACTATAGATTTGTGGTAAAATTTCCGAGACAGAGTATTTATTGCAATATATAGTAGTTTTCAATTCCTTTTAATTACAGTTCACAAAAGTATAAAAAATCGTGCGTGTTCGATTTTTCCCTAGAAGAGATACAGAGAGTTCGGACAATATTTTAAAGTTTTGATATCGACAGATTTTCTAACTAAACTATAGATTTGTGGTAAAATTTCCGAGACAGAGTATTTATTGCAATATATAGTAGTTTTCAATTCCTTTTAATTACAGTTCACAAAAGTATAAAAAATCGTGCGTGTTCGATTTTTCCCTAGAAGAGATACAGAGAGTTCGGACAATATTTTAAAGTTTTGATATCGGCAGATTTTCT